GGACGTTAAAAAAAATACCTAACGATAATAATAATAATAATAATAATAATAATAAACGCACAACGACTACGATGTACCCAGCAGACAGTAATTCACACGGAGGTAGATTTTACTCTCCATATGATGTTAACCATATTATACTCGTATTATATTAAAACGTATATCAATACGCTCGTGGCATATTCAGATGACCGACCCGAATGTGTATTACCATTGAGTATATATACCTATTAACTATACATATACAGTTTATGGATGATAATTGATAAGTATGAATTTTTGTTCCGTCTAAAACCATTTTAAGCGCGTATAAAGGATCGCCCAGACAAGAGAAGAGTCAAAACATTTGTTTCTTGCCAATCGTTGAACATTTGAACTTCGTAAGTACACCGCGCGTCGTGTGTGGTTTTGGTTTTCAGGTACAAACTAACGTTACCCTTTGAATAGTAGTGTGATAAATGATAATTGTGAATTTCTTGAGCGTAATTTATTTTAAACTCATATTCTAAGTTTTTTTATTATCGTATGCTGTAAAATTACGAGTTTTTCATGTTGAAATAATTTAACGCGCGCGGAAACGAAACATCGGATGCTGAATGCTAAAAACGTAACGCAATGACTACTACAATCTCATGCGAATTATGTATTACGCAATTTTTGTGTTAATTCAATTCATTAATAATATATTGAAATGTTCGATGTACGCGGAAACGAATACACTAAGATGAAATAAATGTACGATAAATTGCAATATCGTTATTTTGATCATGTAGTAACTAATCCTGCACTCTTTGTCTTATTTTGTATTTATTATAAACAACACTAACAGACACGGTAATATTAATAACGATAGAATGGTAAATAATTCGATTTTTAAATCCTCGAATTTAATGTAAATGTTTAGCAGTAGATATATTAATTATCCGATACTATTATTATAATACATATAATACAGTTTAAAACTTTAAACCGATGAAAATACGTTTCCATTCCCGCGTTATTATTTCCGTATAGAAATCACGAAGTATTTATTGTTATAATGTTATAATAAATATATAATTATTATAGCATGTATAAGTAAGCACAGCATATGTAAAAACACGTCCTTGTCGCATATTTTTCAAAGGTTAAGCGCAATAATGAAAACGATTTTTTTCTTTAATGATTATAATACATTATCATTGTGTGTACGGTATCGATCGTCGTCTATGTTTTCGCGTATACATAAACATAATAATATTATGATATATATATATATATATGGAGCATGATAATGAATTATGCGCTGACGCATATAGTTTGTTTGTTCCCGTCCGAAGTACGCATTAGTGTACACCCTACTGCATTTTATTATGATACACAAAATATTTTCATATGTTTATTGATCGTACTTATAGAGTTAAGATCGTGATATCAACGTAATCCTTATATTAAAAGAAAAATGGTACAAATAAAATATTCCACACTGTGTGATGATAATCAATATTAATTCCCGCTAGTTGTCTGGTGGTAAATATTTTTATAATTTATCTCAATAAAAATGTTTTGAATAAAGTTATACAATGTTAAAGAAATAGTATTTAATAAAAGTAATTTACTGTCCCTATGTGAATTTATATATTTAACGTATTTTGTGTATTTTTAAAATATTTAGAAAGATTTTAAGATTTGTTCAGATGTTTAGTGACTAATCCTAGGGAGAATAACCAAAATTAAACTTTTTGTATCTAGCTTCGGGAGGATAAGTACACTCACTTATCCAAATTTATAAAACTGTGGCCCATTACCGTTTACTAAATGCTCAAAATAATAATAACAGTTATTGTTAGATTATAAAGTTGTAAAATGCGATACACAGAATATTTTTCTGTAATTGAAATTAAAATATTAAACATAATAGCAATAGTTTTTATAGGTTTTATCGAAGGAAACATATTATTTGAATGGCGTATAAATGCATAATAATATTATGTCTTGATTTAATCGAGTATATTTGCTTTAGTTCGTTTTTCTCTCGTCATAAGCAGGTAGAATAGTTCTCAATTATTAATACGCATATAAATACACGAAGAATTTCCAAGTTCCCCATGAAAGGATAATGATTGGACAGTTTAAAGAAGAAATGATGAGCTATTATATAAGGCAATCGAGTCGTTTAAAATGAATTACATCGCTGTAAATAAATAACTGTTGTATACTTGTATACACTCGATAATGGCGTGCATTTATTATAATTGTTCTGCTTTCGAGTAGGCCAGTGTATAATGTACACTCATATATGTAAAATTTATCATGTTTTGTTTTTTATAATAATTATGTTGGTCAAGTACGGAAATAATTTTATTATGATAAATAAACTACTGTATTTTTTTTTGTTTTTTTTTTTACATACACGACCAACCAAGTTAGAGCTATCATAATATTTTGATATTATGTTAGAGTTAGATGTATTAATAGGATATGTAGTTATCCCATACGGCGCATAGTGTAATTTTAAATATGAGCTTATTACTAATACTTATGTAAATTGTTGGTTTGAATGAAAATTTTGAACTGGTTTTGTTACTGGCAAGACAAATATTAATAATAATATGCTGTGTATTTTCGAAATCACTCGATAATTCTTTGTATATTATCATAATAAATTGATTTTATCTTCAATATTCTCATAAAAAATGTTAATTATTATTGTGTCTAATCGTGTATAGACACTACATATATTATATGTATTATAATATACGAGTAGTTGATGTACAATTAATCTGTCTAAGGTTTGGATAAAATGTTATTTCCGAATTTCGACATAAAATTTACAAAACGCGTGTACTTTGTGATATTGTATGTAAAAAAGTATGTTTCATGTCACTAAATCTATTTATATGAATCTTTAACCATAAATCATAATAATAGTATATGCCACAACGCTTAAATAAAATTGGTTTAAAAAAATGTTAAAAGTCCTATTTAAATGTCTGTTCAATATTTTACAGTACGAAATCTCGAAGGATAGTGTGGTTTAGAAAATCATGGAAAATGTTATAATCTCTGTACGTTCGATGTGTGTATTATATTGTATATTTATTATGAAACCAAGTTCTCAAAATTAGAAGCCGAAAACACGCATTTAAAAAGTCATTTTGACTTATTTGAACAAGATCATGTTTCTCTTAAAAAAATTAAGTTCACCAAATTTTGAAATAGAATTATTAAATGAATTATATGACTGAAAATCTAGAGCTAATAATATAATAATTACAGGAACTCAACTCTGAAAATTCCGAAATCTTGTCAGATTATATCACAGTTAAAAAGTTTATTTTATGATACCGGTTTAAATTTTCAAATAATCAAAGCCCACCTTGGAAAAGAAATATAAAATCGCCTTCACCCTCTTAAAGTTATACTTCCAAATGCTAGCGACACTTTTTCGGTCCTAGGCTCTCAAACTAAACTCTACAGATCTCAAAAATGGCCAGACATACATTTTTCCTTCGACCGTTCAACAAAACAAATCTAAGATAATCAAAATTATTCTCAAACGTATACAAAAAACATCTAATAAAAATGCCAGTTATCCATATTATTAAATCACCTTTCTGTATTAACAACTTTGTTCTATCTCTTGAAGATGTTTTTTATTTATTAGATAATCTAAAATCAATAGTTTTAATACTCTCATCTCTCTTTTGCTATCATAAATATCGGGTAACCGAGTACATATATTCAAGCAAGAATAAAAAACCATAAAGTTGTGTAGACCTCGATCAGATATTGACACTGTCCCTAAATCGGTATGGGATCTATATGTAATTAATGACAATAGACAATTTGAGGAAGTTCAGAATAAACTTTTGCATTTAAACGGTTTTTGCATTGCTAGTCATTTCTTGAAAATTTCCTATTTGCTTAATAATAAATCACCAATTGCTAATTTATTTAGCCTTTCCTGTTTGGCAGAGTAAAGACTAACTACTGTCATTAGATTTATTGAAAAACTATAAAACAACAAAGTTGATTCTATTGAGTTCATTTCGTGCATATAGGTATATTTTAAGGTACCTTAGCGTTTCACTAGATCTACTGCTCCTTTTTACGTTCCTTATATACCACTATATTTTTTGCCAACGAATCGCTTAGAAAATTAATGACAAACGCCAACGCGGGTCTTCGTTTTCTAGTCTAATTAATTTTTCTATTTAATTATTGTATAATTAATCAGATGTGTACTTATTTTTACCATTAAAAATACTATTGATACACATTATATAAAAACTGCAAGGACTCGTCCATTAAATAAATACAACAAATAAATAAATAAATATATAAATTATAAAGCTTTTACAGTCATTCGTCTTCGACTTTTCAATGGTTTATTTTTTTTAATCTTTAGCCACGCTAATGTTTTTTACGAATTATTTTTGTGTACTTGGATGATCTCTAGTCATGTCAATAGTAAAAGTGCAGACAGTCAGGTGTTTTTTTTAATGTTATAATGTGTTTTATACGTGAGTTTGAACCTCCATTAGTTCTATTCAATACATAATATAGATAGTAAAAATATTAATTTAGAGGTAAGATTTTAAATTCACGTGCTAATAACTGTATATCGTTTCGTTTAATACTACTACGTACTTCGACAATATGTTTTGGATCTTATCCGGATGTGAATACATTTAAAAGGTCCGGACATACACACATACGTAAACATATATTACATATAGATTATTCTACATAAATTCACGTGCTCTTTGTAGGTAAGGTACTTATTAAATTCCTATCGAGTAATTATAATACGGTTGATGTAGAACGATCGAACAGAGAAATATTGGAGTGTATGACTCGCGGAACGCCGTCATGGTTTCGGCACAGTTATTCAGGGAAGACACGGAGAGGAGGGGGGAGATGAAAAAATCGATGGGGAGTGATTTTGATATTATTCGTTGAACCAAATTATATTTATAACGCGTGTGACGAACAGTAGTAAGGTGAAATAACTATCGGTGAGCGTGTGCGCGGGAAATTGGTCATTTTTTCCCGAAAGCAGTGCTCGAGGCAAGTGAACGACAGAAGAAAACACGAGCGTGTGTGTTTTTAAGTGGGTGGGTGGATGAGCTGAAGTGAAAACAGAAACCGACTCAAAAAAATAACCGAATACCTATATTATTATACGTTGCGTACCACGGATTAAAGAACGCAGTCTGGATGTATATCAAAATATATACAGGTATATAATATGTACATATAAACTTTATTAAAAATAAACTGAGCGAAATGTATAAATAAAAATAATATAACAATGTTATGTTGCATATCGTCGGCGCAGCAATACAATACTTTTGGTGCTCGGGGCGATAACGATAGCGTACACGCGACAGTGTCGAATTGCCTTGGTATGATAGCCACAGAATTACGATAATATACTATTATACTTGCATTCTATGTCACCTTTCTTTTCTTTTTTTAAGGTAATTCTTATCTGACAAACAAAAATCCTGAAAGTGTGATACAGTGGAGGAGGAAGACAAATAATTGACTTTTAGCAGTGACATTTTACATTAATTCAATACATCCTACGTTAAAATACATTTGAATTTAAAATTTTAATGAGATTGAATGTTTAAACAAAACTTAAAAATATTTTTTTATAGAGGTTAGGTTAGGTTAGGTATATAATAAGATTTTTATCTTGTTGCAATTCTAAAATATTTGCAAGAATTTTAAATGTTTACATTTATTATTATATTTAACTAAACGTATAGGTAACGATATTTTTAAAATATTTAGATTAATTTTAAGCTATTCTCTAACTATAGTGACGTGAAATTAATCCTTGCACTTTGTTAAAACAAGTTATGAACAGTGGTAGTGATTTGCATGAACTTAGCAACAATTTTGAAGTCCAATCCCAAAATGTACAAGTCAAAAACAAATAAGTTATTAGGGAATGAATCAAAGAAGGGCTACTTGTTGCGATTCTTACATTTTGTCCTAAACTTTTTAATCTAGTGTTAAAATACTCATTATAATTAGCAAAATTTTCCCACAATTTGAAACTTAAGCCCTTCGATTATATGAACTTTTAAAATTGTTTACTTTATTGTCGTAGAACTTTCAAACCAGTGTCCAGTGTCTAGTGTCGAAATACTCGTTAGACTGTATTACTAGTAGTAAATAAATTATTATAATAATGAACAGCTATATAAATATATGATTATACATATTTATTATTTAGTAATATAAACTGATAGTTTATCTACACTTAGTATCGTAATTTCATTTACAATGATTTATCATTGAATTCAAATTTTACATATCATTATATTGACCCATTAAAAACCTACTATATAAATTATATAATATAACGGTACCCACTTACCCTAATTTTAACTTGTTTAAGTAAAAACTGGATCTAATATTCTACCAGAAACTAACCCAAAGTTGAAAATCGAAGCATTTTTTATTCCTTGAAAAGTATTGACAGACAGAAAAAACATTTTAAAATCAATACATGCATCGTTCCGCTCAGAATTTAAAATATTTTACATTTTATACGATTTATATAAAACATTATAATATGTTATTTATATAATATGCTTTGATATTACACTCGAATACTACAGAAAAGCAAAGCAATTGCCGGTTATTTATATACTTTCCTCTTTTTAAAATTTAATTAAGGTAAACTACACAGTGTGTAATATATGTAGCCAATAAGCTACATCATATATTATGTATTTCCTTATATCATGCATAGAATACAATTAAATTAATTTAAAAATATCATACAACACGCAGAAATCATATTCTGAAACTAGTATGAAAAAATTCTAAAATTACGACTTCTGAAAATTATAAACTAGTACATATATAAAATGTCACATTCCAAATTTACATATTAGTATATAATAATAGTACACGAGTATGTGACAGAATTTTTATAACTTTGATTGAGATAGATATTTTTTTTAATGTAATAAAATATTTTTCAAAATCTCTTTTCTGTTCTTTTTTTTTGGTTCTTACAAAATAAAAAGCAATAACTATTAAAAGAGTTTTTTTTTTGAAAAAATTGTGTTTATTATTATATTTTTAAAAAGTAATGTGGATTGAGAATTTTGATAAATGTACCGTCACGTATATTAATCTCATTTATATAGCTAGAAAATAAAAACTACGAATAATGCCAGTCTGGTGCAGGTAGTTGTATAAACATTGTATCGGTCGTTCTTGGTCGTACTTCATGTTTCATATTATATATATATATATATATGTGTTACAGTTAGTATTAAATCAGTTAGTTTATGAAATAATTAGGTAATTTATAAAATAACTAAAGCTTGTAGGTAATGTATATAATTTATACTTTAACTAGTTATTTTATACATTCCCTGGCATCACTTCGTTAATGTATTAAATTGTAAATAACAAAAAATCATGATAAATAAATATAGTTCTAACATTTTCAAAAATTTAATATAACATTTTAAATCAGATAAGATTGACGTCCTTTTTGTCGGTGACCGTAATGTATGTTTGGAAAAACAAGCAAAAGGAATGAAAGATTTATCAAATACTAAATTTGCGGTTGCTAATATTGGTTCTACAGTGCGTATCAAAATTTCCGATGTTGATAGAAGAAGGGGTGATCCTCGTTTAATTATTGCAGTTGTTTTAAAATTAACTGACGATGGGTTTTATCAACTGAGATCCAATGATGGTAAGATACATTTAAATAATACAAGTTATTTTTTATTTTTTATTTATTTGATACCTACCTATATATTATAATTACAGGAGTGATAAACAACTATATACTCTTGATCCTAGTTCACAGTATTTTCAGAAAATTTGTTAGCTGTAGAAGCTGTTCCAAATGAAAGTATTACATTAAGATCTACGGTAACTGCGCAGTCACTGATCAGGGTTTTTTTAAGTGGACTTGTACTAAAAAATGTGACACAAAGCGATGTGTTTGTAGAAAAAAAAGAGGTATTTTGCAACTCTAAATGCCATAATAGCCTTACATATACAAATAAATAAATAATATAACTATAATTAATTCAGTAAAATAAAATATTTTAAATTTTAATGTATTTTATACTTAAACGGATATTAAACTGAAATTGTATAGAATAACTACATAGATATTCTATAAAATAACTAGTTAAAGTACAATTTTCATGTATTATTTCATACTTTAACTAACATTCGTAGGTAATTCATGAACTGTCTAGTTATTTCATAAAATAACAGAATTCAACACTTTAGCTGTAACACATAAACAGTTCTATATTTGAGGATTGTTAACGCCGCGATGGCGTAACTTACCGCGGTTAATGACAATGACTACGTGAGGACAATTTTATTCCGATCAAAAACCATTTGCTACATACGATTACCAAATAACGAGTGTACAAACTCTTCTTACTTACATAAATTTATAATAAAATATGAAACCGCAACGACCGTCGTCATTTTAAATATACGTAGGTTTTTTTCCCTTTCTCGTGGGCTTCGACCGGATATCCTTTGACTCAAATTTTCTCATCGCTACATCATCTACGATAACGACAATTGAACAAAAGTGCATAGCATACAAAAGTTATTACAACAATAATAATAAAAATAATATAATTCGTTCGCCCGCCCGCCTCCACGTCGTGTCTAACTTAAACGATTGCATTGTGTACGTGCGCATAAACTTATGAGTTATATATATTATTGAATATTATTAATGTTGTTATTGTGAGTCATAGGTACGTTGATTTAAGCCAATGTTCGTTTCAACAGTTAACTTTTTTAAATAGTACAAAACATTTTTTACAGTGATAGCTTCCTCTAACACTTGAGTGACGTTTTAAAGATAATCTTTCAAATAACTTTTTTTCACAAATCATTTCGGGCGTATTAGATACTCGAAGCCAATGGCGCGCATTCAGGGCAAATTAGGTAAGCGGCGTATGTCTGGCCAAAGATTAACAAATAAAAAGTTTAACTTTTACTATGTTAAGTAAAAATGAGACTTAATGAGACTTATACACTGAAATTGCTATTATTCACTAATTCTTTTATGAGTATTCGATTTAAAATAATTTATCAAGCTTTTTCAAAAGATATTAAATTAATGTTTTTTTGAATAGGCATTTTTTTTTTCAAAAGCCTTCATATTTTTAATTGTACGACCCATATCGTTATTATAGGAACGACTGGTTGCGATAGAAGGGAGTATTCGTGTTTTTATATGATGGTTGAAAGTGCTGTGCCGAGCACTTATCGATATTTTTAAAAACGCAATAAATTCCAAAATTTTGCTGTAGCATATCGGATAATTATCATTGTCATTACACTTTTACTTTATAAATCTATATTAAATTGTAATTTTCATCAATAAAATAGCTTTATTTTTAAACGCTTGCCTAATATAAAATATAACCTCAAACCACTGATTGACACGGTCACTGATTTATGCATTGCAGCAATGAAGTCACTATATTTATGTATACGTATTGTTTGGTCTTTTGGTGTTTTATTGTTTTTAAAAAATGTATATTACTTGAAAAATTTTATCACGTTAATAATATAATAATATTATAGTATAATTTAAACTGGATTTCTTGTATGTATATTTTAGCCGTCGACCGTGAATGTTATCAGACTGATAGGTAATACATACAAATAATGGGCGTTGAATATATTATTATAATTTATAATTTATAACTTAAAACGACATTGCTCAACGCTATGAAGTTAAACAAGATACAAAATTAATAATTTTTACAGGATGTTTGTATATACGCTTATTAACGTTTCGATTAACATACTCTATACAGTATACATAAATAAGAACATTACGTGTTTGCGAGTACGTAGAATTGAAAATAAAATCGATTAACCACGTGTACTGTAATATATAAATAGGATTATTCTGTTGAAATTATTGTTTTAAATATCCTAAAAACTACTCATTTTTCGCTGTTTGAATAGGTTTACTACATTATATTATATACGTACACTAGCTACCTATATAATTGCAAGTATATAATATAAGCGCGTTAATCCGTTTATGGGGTTCGACTATAACAGTGGATAAAAATAGCGAAAAAAATGAAGACCACCCTGTGATATATAGAGAATCTCTAAAAGTGTCTCATTTCACCATTTTTTATCGGACAAGGGACTTAAACTATACTCACTCACATGTAGATTGTATACACCCTCCGTGGTATCTGATTACCGATGCGGCACGTTTACAACGTTAAGCTAGGTTATAACTATAATACATACATACACATACTCACACACAAATACACATTGTCTCGAGGAATCGAAACCTAAATGTATATATTGCATATCGTGAGCTGCCAAAGCTTATTTAGTTTTATACCTATACATGTCGACATCAAACTTATATTATACAGAGTGATTTTTTAAGCACGATTTTGCTTTTTATATATTATAAAAATATATAATTGGAGTACCATGTAAATTTTTTTTAAGTTTTCTAATTTTTGGAATTTTAGTGAGTTTACATTAAAGTTTGAGAATATATTTTTA